GTTTAAAAGCTTGTAATGTAAGTAATTTGTTAACAAGCTTTTGGTAGGATTCCCCCCTCCTTGTTTTCCGTGGATCAAAGGAATAAGAATGCAGGGAAGCATACCCAGCCTTTGGGARCCCCACTGACCAAAAATTGGCTGGGATGAAAAAAAGTTTAAGCTCTGTCTTCTCCTCTTTCTCCACTGCTGAGGATCAGGCAGCAGCTTAATGAGTTCAGAATTCAAGAAGTGAAGTGAGGCACCCTTCTGTCACTGAAAAAACAGACCTGGCACCCAAAACCTCACGATTTCCAATTGCTTCTCCTTTCCTTCAAATTCAGATCTTCAAGTCACTTGTMATACTGGTCCATGGAAGTTCCTGAACACCTGGGTCCCAAGGACAGACATCCCATTACCCCTGGGCATTGCTGGGGCTGCCATTACCTCTGTGTTTCACTGGTAACATCTGCATTTTCTCATCACCTTCTATTGTCTGTGTTCACTTCCTCTTCCTCCCGTATCCATGAATATCCTAATACCAGATATGCATCCAAATGTTATGTTGTYATTATTTTTATTTTATATTTTAAAGCAAATTTTATTTATTTATTTATTAAAATATTTGCAAGCTCTTAACTTTACTTTGAACCCTGTTTTTAGAGCTTGGGGGTTTTTTAATCTGGTTTGGCATCTCTCCTGCCCCTTAGGACAGCATCCCTTTTGACAGGAGCATACTACAGGAAGCAGAACAGGACAACTAATGTTTCAGTTAAGCCTTTTCTGCCCTTTTTCCACCCCAAACACAACCTGCCCTCCATTCAGCTGGAGCACATGCAATAAACCTTTGGTTTTCGGACAGTGAAATCCTCATTGTTGTCACATGGCCTTTGTGGCCCTGGCCTCTTTTTTGTTCCTAAACCCAATCTCAGGATAGCTACAGGGCAATTATCCAGTGGTAAAACGTGTCAGCTTTGCTTCTGAAAATATCCCAAGACCGCGCCGGCTCCGGCAGCGAGGCCCGGGGCAGCCCCGCGTTTGTTGTTAGCAACGGGCGCGATGGCKGAGCGGGCGGCCCTGCCCGACTCGGYGCTGCTGCCCTGCGGGACCGGCTGCGAGCGGCCAGCTAGGGATCGAAACTGAAAAGTTTCCAGCTACAGCTTGCACAGAGAAATGTGCCAGGATATACAGTTTTTGCTTATCTTCCTCTCCTGACATTTGAAAACTTCCATTTGCACCCGTTAAAGCCGGCAAACTGCTCACACGCCGTGATGGTCTGCACTTTCAGTTTTGTGGTTTGCTGAATGACTTGGAGATCCAGCAGCTGCTTCTCTCCTGACACATTTCTGTGTGCGAGATGTAGACATTTCAGACTCTGAGAGACTGAAAGTGCATGATGCCATGTAATACAGCTGAGAATGAAAGCACAGTGCACCATGATTGTGTGTGCAGTTTATAGACTGCAAGGAAAAGTAACTGCCACTTGATTGTGGTGCGAATGCAAGTTTGCAAATGRAAGGGAAAGTCAGTGAAATCTTCCTATTCTGGCGCTTTTTTTTTTTTTTGAGAGCAGGGGACTTTGGATCTCCACATTGGATGGTTTGGCGATAACCACGGTGCCGTTCCGTCTCCGTTTAATACACAGCTAGATGGTGCTGTGTACCTACAAACCAACCCAAAGTGCCGCTCCCAAGGTGGAAGCGTCGGTTCTCGCTGACCTTACCATTCCATGTGCAAACTCCTGTTCGCACCACACTCAAACAGCAACAAGAAGTCCTCCCCAGTTGTATGTGCTAATATGTTTCTTCACTCTCACCCAGCTACAACATTGAAAGMGTCCAACAAAAATGTAACTCACAAAAGTGCCAGATAAGGAACATYTTGCTGGCTGCAACTTCAACAGCACCCATCGAACTGCACACCCTGGTATCTGCACTTCTCAACTGTCCCACCCAAAGGTGCCAGATAAAAAGGATTGCTGATATCCCTTTAATTCCCTGGAAACCTGATAATTTGCAGCACTAGGACTGTGTGCTTTCGTTCTTGAGGAAGAGCACTATCATAACTTTTGAAGGTTAACTCCAAAATTTGGATTACAATATGATAATTGCAAACATTGGGGGATTGCTCCCACACAGAATGTGCTAGGACAGAAAGCTGCTCCTCCTTGCTGCAGCCTACCACCTGCATCTGGAATACTGGTCCTAGGTATTCCCATGTAAAAGCACTGCCACCGACACTCAGGAGCCCACAGCCAGAAACTGGACACCAGCTCCAATATTACACACATCCAACATGGCTCCTGCACAAAAGGTCCAAGCCAGAAATGTCTCGATGGAGTTTACTTCCCCATTATCTGCTTACCTTATCATCTGCTCTGCTAAAAACAGGGCTATGTGCTGGTTTTTGATTCACTTTCTGAACCCCACCCTAGAAATCTGGAGCMAACAAGCACAGATTTTATGTGTGCCTTGCTGTGGGAATATGACTGGCGACCCCGTGGACAGGTAACTGGGAATACAATTAGTGGAAACTGAGGAGTTATATTAGCATTTTAACAGGAGCTGTAACAGTACGGAAATTACAGGATAAATCACAGTTGCTGCTCCCTGGATGGAATGTAGTTGGCATGACTTCGAAACCTATCTCACGGCGATTTCYCCCCGCATCTGCTAAGGGGGGTAGAATGGAGGGTGGAACAGAGTGGAGACACTGTGACCAGGCTGTGTGGAAATCGTTACTCGATGCTACTTTGCAGCTAATGAACCATAGACCTGTCAGCCGGGGGAGGCAGAGGAAAAGTCCTACTGCTCAACCAGCAACTGTGGCAAAATCCCTCTCCTTAGATGAACTTGATTCATTAAAGCCTGATAACAGTAACTCATTCCTCCGTCCCAAAGTTACCAATCTCCAAGGTATGACCTACCTGTTGGAGGTTAGGATATTTTCTTTCAGCCCTCTAACCCCCTCAGCCCCAATATCACTCTAAGCCCTCAGACCCCTCAGAGATCCCGCAGCCCAGTCAGCCCTCGCAGCCCTCATAGTCCTTCTAGCTCTTACAGAGCCCACAGCCCTCGCAGCCCACACAGCACTCACAGTCCCGGTATCACTCACAGCCCTCACACCGCAGAGCCCTCGCAGTCTGCACAGCTTTCCCAGCCCTCACAGCGCTCTCGGTTCCCCCGGACCCCACACTCCTCTCAGTCCACCCGCTCTGTCTCCTCCCCCTCAGCTTTCCCAGCCCTCACAGCGCTCTCGGTTTCCCCGGACCCCACACTCCTTTCAGTCCACCCGCTCTGTCTCCTCCCCCTCAGCTGTCACAGCCCTCACGCTCCCCGCGCACGCGCCTCTCTCTCCCCTGCGCATGCGCGCTCCTCCCCCGCCTGTGGCCGCCGCGTTCGGCCGTGCCCCGGATGTGGCTCCTGCCCGGGAAAATGGCGGCGCCGGGGTGGGCGGAGGGAGCGTTGTAGCGCCCGGTGCCGGTGCCATCCCTGCCATGGCGGACCTGGGCCGGCAACTGCACGAGTACCTCGCGCAGTCCAAGGCTGCTGCTGCTGCCACCGGCCCGAGCGCGGTCCCCGCACCGCCGGCCGCCGGCGACTCGCAGGAGGAGGCGGGGGACGGCGGCGGGCTGCGGGCCTGGCTGGGCGCGCTGAACCCATTCCCACCGGGCACTCCCGCGGGCAGCTCGGGGTGTCCTTGGACGGGAGAGGCGGACCCGTGGCTGCCGGGGCTGTCGCGCTGGCAGCGGCTGGCGGGCAGCGGGCTGTGCGTGCTTCTGGCCGCGCTGTGCTTCGGGCTGGCCGCGCTGTGCGCGCCGCTGCTGCTGCTGCGCGCCCGCAAGTTCGCGCTGCTCTGGTCGCTCGGCTCGCTGTGTGCGCTGGGCGCCGCCGCGCTGCTGCGCGGGCCCGCCCGGCTGCTGCGAGAGCCCGGCCGCGGGACGCTGCTGTATCTCGGGGCGCTGTTCGGGACGCTGTACGCCGCGCTGGGGCTGCGCAGCACCGCGCTGACGGCGCTGGGTGCCGCCGCGCAGCTCGGCATCGCCGCCGCCACGCTCCTGGCCGCGCTGCCCGGGGGTGCCGCCGGCCTGCGCCGCCTCGCCGGGCTGCTCCGCGCCGCGGTGTGCGGCTGGGGAAAGGCACTGCCCCTGTGAGACCGGCTGTGCTGCCGCAACGGGGGAACACCGGCCGCATCCCCGCGGGAATCCCTCGCACACGGACTGAGACCCTCGCTCAATAGCCAGCCGACTCCGAGACAGGGGACGCCACTTCTTTTCGCCTCCTCCGCGTCCTGTCGCGTTTTCCTCGCCAGCGCTCGAGGAACAGCAGCAGCAGCGCCTGACAGAGCKGAGCGGCCCCGGTGACTCGGAGCTGTATTGCCGTGTGCTTTGTCAGCCTTGCCGAGCGGCCCCGAGCTCGGTATTTGCCTTAGCGCACTGCCAGCTCCACAGCCATGGCTTGGAATCGCTCCAGCTCTGGGTGGGAGCTGGCAGATCCCATTTCCTACCTCCAGCATGGGCCCGTGTGGCTGCTGCGGCGGCTGCTGCAGAGCGGGAGATCGGAGCGGACGCGCTGTGATTACGGACTGGCCCGGTACCGAGGAGCGGCTGAGGTGCGCAAGGCGGATACCGAAACACGAAGATGATTTAGCAAAATGTGATCAAGTTTGGGGGAGAACATTCAAAGATTAACTGGTATTACCTCATTTTGTGCTGACCCCTACACTCTGAACACATACTGTTTTTGCTGCCACCTCAGACCAGTGGTGAATATGAAGACTGTGGCCACTGAACTGCATTTCTCTCTAAAAGCAGCTTTAAAATAACCATCCAGTAAGTGAAACAAGCTTTCCTGGGGCTGCGGGTCACAAACACTGCCCATGATTGTAAGGGGAGGGGGTTTTTCCTGCATGATGATGAAAAGATGCAAGGTGCTAGTGTTAGTTAAGAGCATTGGCATTTGCAGGTACTGCTGCCTTACAGCTGCGCTAAGGGACCAAATCCTCGGGCTTCCAAAGGGTAGCTTCAGCTCTTAGAACTTTAGTGTGTATACATATATACATTTTGCTCTCTGAACTTGGGCAGAAGTTGCTTACTTGTCACAGCCTGACCTTCAAAAATAGATTTGCTAGTAACTGGACCTCTGCTTCAGTGCAGAAACTGAGCTGCCTTAGGAAGGTGCTGAATTCAGGCTGCCAGCTGGGTGCTCCAGTTTGGGCCGTGTCCTGGACTGCTGCAAGGAAATGGGACAAGCAGGCCTCACCTGCACAGAGCTCCCAGTGAGTATCTCACTGACCGTTTGTGCCTCATGGAGGAAATAAAGCCACCGCAATACTTAACCTGCTATCACTATTTAGTTTTAACATATTTACCAAATACTTTTCCTAATTAAACTGAAATTGTTAAAGGGGGTACTTGAATGTACATGGATTGCTTTAATAAAACTATTTGTGTCCAGTTGTCAGTATAGACATTTCACTAATGGTTACTTTTTTCCATTAAGAATGTAGATCAGAGCTCTCAGAACAGCATTAAATTAGCTCTCGTTTTCACAATTTCTAAGTTACAGTATACAGAGTTAATTTTATTCCTAACAGCAGTGTAAAATTAAATCTGAGACAAGCTCTAAACTGAGAGAGCGTAAGAGTCGACATGCAGCACTGGTAGAACATGACCTGAGGCATACAGAAGTATATCCCATTAAATAATTGTGTCCATTTCCCAGCAATAGTGGGTCATGCTGTCACAGACTGGGAAGCCGCTTCTGTCTCTTCTGGTATGTTGTTACTGTCTAAGACTTTGTAGAAAATCTAAATATCATATTTTCTTAGGAATTTTTTTTTGAGGATATGATTGTGAAATGCTTCGAAACCCAATTAAAAAGCTGCCCTGTGATGAAGAATATTRCTTAACACCAAATACCATAATCGTTTAAGGAATTAACCAATCATCAGAGGAGATACAAGTTGTCTAGATAMAGCTGGATTTTCTCTTGTTAGGTACACTCTGACTTGTTTTGGTAGAGGACTGTGGTTTAATTAAAGCCTAAAGCTCATCCTTGAACTCCTATATTTAAAGTATTAGATTTCTTTTAGTCCCTTAAACATATATAGGGCTTGCTAAAAAAGAAAAAGAAAAGGGCAAGCTTTCCTTTTTGCCAGCAATTAAATCATTAGTTTTATCATTAAACCTTCAGGACAAATCCTAACTCCCAGACATACACCCAAAGCTCTCCAGACAGAGCTAAAATGCATTTTTTCTCAAGGGAGAAACTCTGTCATATCAGATTCATTGCAGCTGTTTCTAGTTAATTCCTTTTAGCCCATTCTCTGTCTCTTGAGCCCCATGACAAGGATTTTTTTAGGCCAATGATCAGTTACAATTTTCAAATGTCATTTTAAACACTGTACTTGTGATTGAAGCGAGAGATCAGTTAGGCACCTGTGCTTTGATGTCTTTAAGTACAATGGGACATCAGGACTTGAGCCAGCCTTTGGTAGACCTGACTATATGGGAAGATGGTGTACCTGCCATGTGTTGCTGGGTTGCAGTAGCCTCTAGAACTACATTGCTTCATCCTGATTACAACCTGAAATTCAAGGCAGGAGAGAGGGAAGCCTGGTAGTGATTTTTCATTACACTCTACTTTTAATATGGGACCTTCCTGAGAGGTATCTGTAGAACAGGTACTTACGTGGTAACATTTTCAAGTTTTAGGGATTAAAGGAGCCTTTTGATAACATGGTGGCTGGAGATGATTAATCGGAGTGATTTATGGGGAAAACAAACTCATGGTTGGTAAGCAGCTTTATTATGAAATATGGGAAATGGGAATAACCCCTCTTCCTCATTTCCCTCCTCTAGTAAAACCAGGTAGCAATACCCTAAAGAAGAAGATACTTAAAAAAAGTTACTATGGAAGTGATGAATTGCACTTCAGCAATTAATGCACCAGACTCTGCTGAACACCCACAGCTTTAAAAAATGTGTCATAACAGCTGTTGTAAAACATACCAATCARGCTGCTAAACTTTCTTCCTCAATTTCTATAAACAGATGCTATTTCAAACAAAAATCCGTGTCTCGCCTAGGTGAAGGGTAGGTAGAACATCAATATTTGCTGTGATGTTTGTCTTGCAATCCAGGTTATGTAACTCATATTGTGTCTTTGACTTGTTCTAAAAGGTGTTCCACTTTTTTCTCTTTCAGGATGKCAGACTAGCAAGCAGCGGCGATCGCCTGCATTTTGGCATTTTAACATCAGCACCACTTGTAATCTGTAGATGGCTAAAGGTGAAAATGAAACTTCTCTATACATGATAAACCAAAAAACTAGGAGTTGGCTCTCAGTATTTTAAATGGCTGAGATTTCAGGAGGTAGTGCTGTTGCTCCATCTGAAACACAAGTTTGCCTAAATACAACCCTCTACAGTAATAGGTGAGTAAAGAATCACACACTGTTGATTTTTTTGTTAATTTTTGCGCAAATTACATTCTGTATTCATACAAAACCAACGTAACTCTTTGACAAACTGTACATATAGAAACAAGTTTCTGTCTGGAGGTGAACTGAAATCTGTGGAGATGCTCCATGTTCCACAACATTTAAAAGAAATTCCAGCTCTTGACAAAACAAGAAAGTGAGGAAATCGGGAGTGGAAAGAACAAAACAAAGCTAGCTACAATACTGCAGCTAGAGGCAGATGACCRATTTAGGAAAAGAAAGACCCTTGTTAGGAACTAATGCACATTCAGTTATTATCCCAGTTAAGAATCTAGGTTCGTGGCGTTGCAGGTGACTGAGTCCAGAGTAGCAGTCTATTTAAATATTGTCCCGCAAGGACTGGGCATGACCCAGTCAAAGCCTCTTCTATCGGCCTCTTCCACCCCTGGATCCTCCTCTCCGTGACTGGCCAGAGTTCATGTTATTTCCTCTCCCCCAGTTACTGCCGCTCCGCCCTCCTCGAGAAGGGTTATTGGCTCCGCCGGGGCCRCCGCCAAAGGCTTCATCCCTGTGGAATCCATCGTGGTGGTCTCCGTCTAAAGAACCAGACCTGCCAGACTTCTGCGCTCTCTGGGAAGGTCCTGAATTGCCTCGTCCTATAAAGGAAGCACAAGCAGTTACTGGTGTGAGTCTGTGTCCCTTCTCAGACATGCTGTACATTGAGCTAGTGCTGCTGTGGGRTCAGCATTCACAAACCAGCTGTAGCTGACATCTGCCATTTCATGCGTCCTCCCTCTGCAATTTTTTTATATAGATTTTGTGTCTCCATTGTAGCTCAGGAGATGGACAACAATCAGCAATTTCTTGGGAATTAAAGGATCTTATATTTTCTCCAGTCAGCAGTCACTGAAATGAAGTCACAGTAATGACAATCAGCTTGTCCTCCAAGCTGCTTGTTCTTGTGCTTCAACACTGTCTGTGGTTCTGTGTTTTTATTGCAAAATACCTTTTAAAAATCCTAAACAAAGACATTGCCCTATTGACAGACTGAGAAAGTTGAGGCTGATGGTGAAGATAATGAGTAACATTACTGTTTTGTTCCATTGATGGCTAAAAATAATGGAAAAATGCTTAATTTTACTACTAATCACGAAGAAAACTACACAAGCTCTTAYTGCCAGGAATAGATTTTTCTAATTCTCACAGATCTTTTTGGTTTTGATATGTAAATGAACATTAGAAAAAATCACAACCCAATTCATTAGCCTAAAATAAGCAGTATTTTGAAAGAACAAAATTAGTGGTAACCTTGTTTCACAGACACAAACTACAGCTGAATTCAGATATTTTTGCTTCACTTTAGCAAGAGTGGTTTTTGTTGACTCTGGTTGGTTCCATGTAAAACAGTCACCAATTTGTTTCACAGAGTTTCTAACTCATGAAGTTTGAATCTTCAAATGACTTTACCAATGCAATTGAAGGGGAAATAGCCCACATAGGAAAAAGTCTTATTCATGGTTTATCAGGCTTTCTGCAATCATTCTAAACTTCTAAATTTTGCACATTATGAGTTAATTACCACACTTCTTGTGCCTGGACAACAGTTGTCTTGACTTTATTAAAGAATATGATGGAGTTATCACAATCATTACTGAAGCTGGAGAAGAAATCCTTACAGATTTGATAGATGCTGGCTACACTGAGAAATACAGCACACACTTATAAATGGAAAAATACTGGTAGAGAGGTTTATCAGCAGAGTTTTATTCAAAACCTCTGTGAAGGAATGATAAAACCTGTTGATAATGCAACACTGGGAATAGAGTCCATGCAGAGGAGGAGTGACATGCAGTTAAAACTGAACGACCTTTGGGACAATGGTAAGAGAAGTGGGATGGAATTCAGTGGCATCAGAGACAAAGCTSTGCAGCCTAACCACAACAAATTCAGCTGCAGGCTGCCAGCTCAGCATCTGGAAGCAAATGAGAAGGATCTTTGTCACTGGTCACTACCTGACAGTGGGTAGTCAATGTGAGGACATTGAAAAGACAATATTTACAGAAGAGAACACAAATGCTGAGATTCGTAAGAAGTAGAATCAAGAACTGGTGTGACAGTGGAACTAACATGCACAGCAAAAGGCTCTGAACCAGTGCTGACTCCACAAGAATGTGTTTTGTGGGTTAGAGTAGCATGTGACCACTTAGAGGGAACTATGACACCAGGAACTACTAGGAAAGAATGGAGAAAGTGGAACAAATCCAAGACAACTGTAGAAATCCATGGTTACRCCACATCTTAATCAGTGGTTGCAGTTCCTAGTTACCTCAATTTAATTTAGAAAAGGATAATTTAAAACTCAATAGCATATACAGAGTAACAAGGATAGTGAAAGGTATGGAATGACTTCTAGAAATAATAACTAAACAGGTCAGAGCTCTGACTTGGAAGAGAGCTAGTTCAGGCTGGAAGTGGTGGAGTTCAGTGCAATCACAGGTGGCATTCAGAAATAATAGGAACCAACATTCAACTTAATTACAACTCAAGACATCAAATGAAATTAGTGAATGSTAAGTGTAAATCAAGAGAAAAACATTTTCCTTTTTTCTTTTAAAACAGTCTTCTACATTTAAGTTTTAGAGGTCTGTCCATGGATGTTGTGTGTGTCAGAAGTTTATGTGATTCCTAAAGCAATTAGAAAAGTGCACAACGGTAACTAAAAAGTCATTAAATATAAAAATTATATTTCAGTAGGTCACTGAACTACAGATCTTCACAGTTTTAGAGAGCACTTCAGGGACATATCACTACAGGCTCAATGTTCTTGTATTTGAGTTAAAGGATGATTTCACAAGTATGAATATTGACAAATAACTATTCTGAAAATGAGGGGGAAAAATGCTCTTAATGCATTTTTAATGCATAGCTGGAGTAACAGGGAACCAAAACTAAGTGCTTTTGAACACAGCAATAAAGAAGGGGGTTCTGTGATGCTGGAGAAAAGATTTGGATTTCATGTTCAAGAAAATCCCTCTGTTTTTATGTTCCTGTACGACTGGACTTTAACTTCCCAACTGGTAAAATCAGGTATTACCAGCTCAGCTTTATCCCCTCTGAACACAGAAGTTCTGGATAAACCTAATGCTGAAAAACATGCCAGCATAATTTAAGGGTTTCAATCAAAGGGGCTTTTTTACCTTTGCTCCTCTCCTCTGGAGGTCCACCTGGAGCATCCATGTCTCTGTGGTCCGAGGTTCCCGGTCCATCGTGCCAGGGCCGTTTCCGTGGTGGCAGCGAGGCCATGTCCATGCCCTGGAGTGAAGAAGAACGTTCTCTGCTGGCTGGAGAGTGCCCGTCGTGAGGAGGGTGATCTGCACGAGGACCTGTTCAGGCACGAAAACACAGGATAAGTAATGTTCATTGGATCAGGATTCCTCATTTTTGGAGGCGGCCACATAAATTTATGAATTGCCCACACTACTTGACACACAATTTGAAGTTAAAATTACGTAAAACTTCCCCTCCATCCCATTTTTAGTAATAAAACTGAAGGTAAAACAAATTTTAAAGATGATGGGAAAGAAAAGTGTGRCAGATGTAAAGTGTTCTTTTGAATATAAAATATTTCTATATATTTTAGAGATAATCACATCTCAATTTATTCATGTGTTGTTTTGTGCTTTTTTCCCTTGATATTCTACAGCTCTGTCTTGCCCCATATGGTGTTGCCTTTAGTAACACAAATGCAAATATAAACTGTCAGACATTGCAGCTGAAAAAGAAATCAGCCAAAAGAAAGATTACTGGATTGTAATCTTGGCATTAATATACGTCATAAGAAACCCCTGTGAAATGGGATTCAGTCATCCAGAGGTGACAACTGCCTGGGCAGTTCTGGATTGTACAAGAAGACAACTAAAAATCAAGGCTTTGAGGCCACAATCACTTYAGTTCAGTAAGACAGATGTATTTAGAATCAGGTAAATTCTGTATAGTTCTTTCTTAAATTTAAAAGACCAAAGAACTGCATTTGGCTTTTCTCCTGGTAAAACACCRGTAACAAACATCTGAAGTACAGGAAAAAGACATGATTTTAAGAATTTTTTTTAAGCGATTATCTTAGAAGTCTAAAAACCTCAYCAAATTTTTTACCTGGTTCTCTGTTTCCATCCCAGGATTCTGGTTTCCGCCCTCCTTCAAAGCGTGGAAATTCATCTGGAGTAGGAAGCAAACCCTTCCGAGCTCCTGAGCAATATGAGAAGGAGAGAGGAGTAAGAAGAGATATTGTATTCATGAAAATAATGTCATCTGCCCAAGAAATACCTTTCCTTTCTCATCATTTCCCCTCACCTCTCAGAGCACCTCGACCTCGCCCCCGCGCACCATGGTCCCTTCCTCTGGAGTTTTCATCTGGAGAGTCAAAAGCATCATCTGGCCCAAAATCTTCAGGGCCAGGAAAGCCATCTCTGCCCCTGGGTCCCCGGCCCTCGTGTCTCGAGGGTCCTCCTCTTCTGAAGCTACAAGAAAGAACATGATACAAATGTGGTTTTTAGGCATAATTGAGTCAGCTTCAGTTTAATTATCAATTTCTGAACTGTTTCACTTGATGCTATAGCACATACAGTTACTAGAACAGGATTTGTAGGTGGAAAAGTGCTCATTTTCTGCCTTTGAGCACTTTGACAGTAAGTTTTGTAATTTTCCCCTCATATTTCCTTCCATTGCTTATGTTGGCTTTTCATACAAGAAAAATATTGTTAAACATACTGCATTCATTTAACGAGAAGGTGGGAAAAATAATCAGTGAGTGATTACAGATATAAGGTG